CATTTGGATAATAATTTATATAAGTTCACTTCGACTATATATGAACTGAAAACACCTTATTTAACCGGAATCCATTATGTTAATCCGCAGTTACAATATATAAAACCACACAGTTAGCAATATATAACAAGGGGGAGATACCCAAACGAACAATATGGCAGATGCAGCCAAAATCTAGTTGTTTCCACTTTTTTCTCTGAAATTCGTGATGTTCTAAAGTAAAAGTACGCATAAAAACCTTCTCCACAATTTTCCTGGCACACAGGATTTTATTTCATGATGTTTCGTCCCGTACTTCATCTGAAATGCGCGTCACCAGATTCGAAGCGAGAGAATTTTCCATCGGTTTGATCGTGGTAACGTACGACTTTTTCTCTCAAATTCACCGTTTCTTTTACATATATGTATGTTAACTGAAACCACTGACTAATATGTCGTCATCTAAGCAGTCATGCCCATTCTGGCTAGATTTACTGCTGTAAATATTAATATCCTGGCATTTTCCGGAAATGATAACGTTATCAATGATAACGTACAGCGCATTTAACTACTGAGTGGATTTCCATTTGTCCAATCAGCTAATAATGAATTATTCTTATGTAGGAAATGATAGATATCTGAAAAAATGTTGTTCATGTCAGAAATAATTAATTGAACAATGCTGTACCATCGGATATAAATATCTTTATAGCCGGTGGCATAATAGATATCGATGGAAAATTCTCTCGCTTCGAATATGGTGACGCTCATTTCAGATGAAGCACGGGACGAAACATCATGAATAAAATTATGTGTGCCAGGAAATTGAAGGTTGTTATATGTACTTTTACATTGGAATATCACGAATTTCAGAGAAAAAGGGAAAACCCTACTTTTTGGCTGCATCCGCCATCTTGTTTGTTTGGGTAACGAACGGCGTGATTCTCCCCCGTGATATAAGTTGATTTTCTCAATATATGAGTCCAGTTCTTCAATATATGGTACCAAAGAAGCTATGTATGGAATCAGATATCCTTAAATGAATCCGAATTATCAATATATCAATTAAGTTTTCAATATATGAATCCAATTTATCAATTTATGAAACCAAAGTAGAAATATGTCAGTTGGTTATAACTTTATATAATACCAATTCTTCAATATATTGTACCAAAGAAGCAATACATGGAACCAGATGTCCTGATATGAAACCGAATTATCAATATATTAATTCATTTTTACAATATATGAAACCAGTTTATTATTGATGTAACCGAAGTAGCAATATATAAGATGATTATCACATTATATGATACCAGTTCTTCAATATTAATGTTGATTTTTACATTATATGGCACCAATTCCTCAATATATTGTCATAGGTTGCTAGTATATGAATCCACTTTTCCAATATATGGAACCAAATGAGCAATGCGTGGAACCTAAATGTCATTATACTGACGGGACTTTTTTAAAGGCTGTATTCTATCCTCGCACCGGTATTATAGTTTCGCGCCAATATTCCTTGTTGACCAGCGTGCTTCACTAATGGCAATCACTAATGGCAAACTGCACATTTTCTTAATAAGGAAATATTTGAATTTAATGTCACATTCAATTACTTTGGCCTTAAAATTGGCTGGGCAGGCAAAACTTATCGTTATATATGTACGAGGTTTTAGTCATAATTTAAGCTACTGAGTCGTACTGACCATAAAGAAGAACATATTTAAACATAAGTTTATCTCAACCTTTACCTTTGGGCATGGCCAGTAGGACACATCAAGGTTAATCTATTCACAAAGTTGTTAAAATAACCAGTCAAATAATTCATTTTATGAAAAAGTGTTTGCCTTGCAATAACAGAACCCAGTGACCTCGGCCTTTGACTTGTTGACTTGAAAATAGGCTATTTTGGTTCCATATAATAGAAATTGCTGTCATAGAAAGTAACATCAACTTATATACTGCTTCTTTGGTTCCATACATTAATATAATTGTTTCATATATTGTAAAAATAATTCGGTTTCATAAAAGGGCATCTGGTTCCATATATAGCTACTTTGGTACCATATATTGAAGAACTGGTATCATATAAAGTGATAATCAAGTCATATATTGCTACTTTAGTTCCGTACATTGATAAATTGGTTTCATAAATTGTAAAAATGAATTTATATATTTAAAATTAGGTTCCATATCAAGACATCTAGTTCCATATATGGCTACTTTGGTACAATATATTGAAGAATTGGTATCATATAATGTGATAACCAACTTATATTTTTCTACTTTGGTTTCATAAATTGATACATTGGTTTCATATATTGAAAAATGAATTAATATTTGTGATAACTCGGTTTAATATCAGGATATCTGGTCCCATATATGGCTACTTTGGTACCATATTTTGAAGAATTGGAATCATATATTGAGAAAATCAACTTATATATTGCTAACTCTGTTTCATTCACTGATGGTATGGTTTCATATATTTGTAGTGTGTGGATGAACATAATGGATTCCGGTTATATAAGAAGGTGTTTTCAATCCATATATAGTCGAAGCGTTATCTTATAAATTCATCCAAATGGTAAATATAAATTAAAAAAGAACAATATAAGACAGCCATGGCTTTCCATAAAAAAGGTTATCAAGCCTGATGCTTTATAATAAAAACACAAAGTAAAATACGTCAGATGTTTATGTGGCCTTGATAGCGCAGTAGGCAGAGCGAACGTTTCCCGGTGTTATATTCATGGTCGAATCATGGTTATATAATACATGTAAAATTAAGTACTAATTACTTAGGCTGTCTTATGTTATCTTTTTCTTATTTGGCCGGGTTTTGTTTCCAAACAGTTACAAATGCATCAGATAATTTTTTTTGGCACTGTTGATATGCACTTGCGTACAGTTAGAAAAAAAACGCGCCAACACATCAGGAGAAAGTTCGCATTATTAGAAAAAGTAAAAAATATAATGTTATATATTGATCCCATGTATTCAAATTATAAATATTATGTAATCGTAGTGCGTTTAAAATATTCTTCATACAAAAAAATTTTTGCGAATCGAATCTGCATTGCATTGAATTCCAACTAGAAATTTAACTGACAGTCTTACCTACTGCGTTAAAGTGGACGGTTGGCAAAATTGTGGTAGTTTTTTTGATTTATTTTATTATCGTTAAAAGATGATAAATACAATATGATAACTGTTTTTACACCCTTATAGTGGACTGACCACTGCGTCACTCATTAATTATCTTAAACGTACTCAACACATCTGATATATAATAATAAACAACAAAAAAATATTGTTTGAAAATTTTTCGTATATATTTTTGTGGGAAATCACTGACCCGCGAATTGCGTAGCTCATCTACACAAACGCTATCAAACTTTAAAATCTTTAAGGTACAAACCGGTTTCAAACAATATTAGAACAGAAAAGGTCTTCTATCGGAAATCATGAAGAGGTTTATAATTTATTATCTCTCAATAATAGGTGCTTCTTAATGACGAATCTCATTTTGATATAATTTGATTGAATACTCGGCCAAATTAACCAAATAAGTAGAAACAGCTTTGTAAACGGTAAACGCTTTTTGTCAACCGACTGAATTCCTTATAAACACTTATATTATGACACTTTCCGACTTTAATATTGATGTGTTTTATCATGATAGCCTTGCATCACACATAATCTTGGTCAGTATAATTTCTGCGGACGTGCATAATGCTTTTTAATCATAGAAAGACAGGCGCCTAAGCCCTCGCTTTTGAAAACTAGGTACGTTGTAATGCGCGTAGAAGGTAGATTCACTGATATTTGTGTGTCCAGGTGAGTGAGAAAAATAATAAACAATTTGGTAAGATAGAGGATAGGGAAATCCCAACGCCAAGGCTCGTTACCTATGGAAAATGAGAAAATAAAAAAATTCTCTGAAAGTGATTTTTCTTTTGATATATCCTTTAAAAAAATTAAAACTTCATTAAATGCCGTTTTAGTGTTAAAATAACATTTCTACAACATTAAAATTTTTGGCCGCTGGGCCGCCAACTTCACAAAAATGAGAAAATAAAAAAGTTCTCTGAAAGTGATTTTTCTTTTGATATATCCTTTAAATAACAATAATAATATTTAATACTTCATTAAATGCCGTTTAATTGTTAAAAAAAAACATTACTACAACATTAAAATTTTTGGCCGTCAGGCCGCTGGGCTGCCAGGCCGCCAACTTCACACCGCCAGGCCGCTGGGCCGCCAACTTCACGCCGCTAGACCGCTGGGCCGCCAACTTCACACATCTCTCGTATGAAAATTATTTTAGAACGAACACTGCAATGTTTTCTTAAGAAAATGAGCTGCTTCATAAGTGTCTAGGATAATTTCTCATTTTGGATATTTGCAATTTATAAAAATGTATATGTCAGTCTTGTGATCAGCAGAAAATTTCAGTGAAAATGTGTGTGGGGGGATAATCATCTTTTGGGGCATTTTGCGAAAGATTTGGTCGGACAACCTTATATTACATGATCAGTTTAATGTGTCAGGCATGTCATTCTTCTAGAAAATTCACATCTTAGTATAAGTATTCAATTTCAAGGTATGTGTAGTGGTCATGTCTTTTAATGCAAGTCTATGGGAAAATTGATGCAGTAGTCTGACCTTATTTATCGTGTCATCACGAAAACTAACTACAGCAGTTCGTGGTTAACTGTTGGCAGATAAATGCCCCGAGTTTTCGCGCCAGAACATTTTTTTCTCTCCAGTTTTACGCCTTAAGTTATTCCACGTATGATAGAATAATTATTTTTATATTTATATGCTCTTAGTGTTAAGTATGATATTCATATTTTTGCAATTTGGACTTATTTACTTTCTTTATCTTGGTTTCGTTGTCCTCTTGTTTGATATACAGCTTAGAGTCCTTTAATGCTAGTTAAACTGTATAGCAATGTCTTTATCAGTTATATCTACTCAAATGTTATCATAGATAAATACTTTAAGGTCAAAGCGTGATTATAAATATCAGATTTTATCATTATTATGCGTTACATCAGACTTTTGTGTCCGATATAACTGTGACCTTTTAAAAAACATTTCCAGTTATCACATTCTGAATATTGGATATAAAGTTATACCTTAAGAACATATTGAAAAAGGAAAGGAAGGTAAACTTTATTAAAGTCTTCGTTTTTCCTTTGACTGTAAAATAAACTGTATTGGTCGCTTATGAATAGTTGTTACTGATTTTTACTGATTTTTTTTTTAATTTAATGAAATGAACTTAGATATACAAGTTTTGGCTTCGAGTGTGCTTTAGAAAATATAGTCATCGTCGGTTACCCTTGATATTTGTTCCGTACATACAACATTTATCTAGATAATTTAGTATGTACAGAATATGTAGCGTAGGTAATCGACGATGGTATGGCTCGCACCCATCATTTCCTTGTTTCTAAAGACATACACCTTAGCAAATTAGTAATCTCTTTTGAATTTATTTACAGAAAATAGATATAGTTGAATGTAATCATACTGCTCTCGGGAGCACGTGTATGAAGTACAGCAAAACTTTTTTTTCAAAGGCACTTTATCTTCAGAAATGAAAAGAAAAATCTTTTCATTTTGTAATGAATGAAAACATATATTTGATAATGTTTCAAACTTTGAGATGCTTACCACCTGAAGAGAATAACACTGAGTGTAAAATTATTTGTCATAAAAGTAGCAAAGTGTGAACAAAATGGTATTCTGACTTAGATACAAAATCATATAAACATGTATATAAAATATATATACTTCTTGACAAGACGTAAAACATGCCTCAGCTTTATTGTCAACAAGTAACTTTGTGGGGACTGCACTTTTCAAGGGTAGCAAAACAATACATTAAGGCTCTTAAGAATAATATTTGATAGCATTTTTAGACTTAATAGGATTTTTAATACAATCTAATCCCTAGGTGACTACTTTATCATACGAGATTCCTGATTTTTACGCTAAATTTATCAAACAAAACAAAGTATTTCAATAAAAAAGTTATTCTTTTCTTTATACTTAGAAAACATTCATTTCATCAACAAAGAACAATGGCAGAAGTGAGGATACCGGATGCAGGTGGCGCCACTATGAGAATGGTGGATGTTGGAGATTTCATCGTTCCGATATTTCTTAAAACTGGTCCAGAAATAAGCGATATTTTCCATAAAGTTCCTAATTTTAAATTCCGGAATGATGATCTGATGCTTTGCACATTTGCGAAAACAGGTAAGTTCCACACTTAATTGTATAGAATTTGTAGTTCATGTATTCAAATGGACTCCTTTAAGGTTTTTGGAAATGACCGAGTTAGAAATATGTTTTTATTTTCAAAATTTATGTTTCATTTGATGTAAGTCTAGACAAATACATTCAATACAAATCATATCGTTCTTTAATAGCCACTGTTGATCTATGTAAAATAATTTGATGTATCTTTTAGACTTCAGTGGTGCTCCTTTAATTGAAATCCGTTTCATGTAATGTAACTGAATAAGACTATAAAACATAAAAAATTGGCATGCACTTTGGCAGAAGTTGCAAAACAGCATTCCGACAATTAGTCTTCCGTAATTTGATAAAAATAACAAATAGCACAAAAGCTGTCCTGGAAGAAATTTAAACAAGTTATTTAATAGTATGCCGTTTTCAATAACTTTATTTGCATAATAATTTCTTCTGTAGGTACAAACTGGATGTATGAAATACTAATGATGATTCTTAACAGATCTGCTGAAAGAGTACAGACCAATAAAGTATCAACCATGATTGAATGTGTCACCGCAGAAGAAGCCGACCAACAGCCATCACCTCGGGTCGTGAATTGTCACTTCCCGCCAAAGTAACGATAATGGATTTTGTTGGCGTTTCCTTTTTATACAGTTTTTACCTTATTTATGAAACATTCATTTAAGAAAGCTTCTACTCTACTAAAAACGTTCTTGAGTTTTCTGTCTTGCATGGCCTAAGCAGTTTAAATTGGTTAAACCCCTGACTATCACTCCTGAGGTCCCGGGTTCGATCCTGGGTTACACCCTTGGGATTTTTCAGAGACACTTTCAGTGTTTCCCACCTACCTAGAGGTGTACTGGTAAGAAATCCAGGTAATCCTCACATGTATCAGTGCTATACACTTGGCATGTAAAAGAACCAAGGGGTCTATTCAATAAGAGCTAGGGACTGGTTCCCGGATTCCCTTGTATCTTAAAAGCTGTTTCTTAAAATGTATACAATGTATACCTGCTTAGAGTGATCGAAAACGATTTTAAAGCAGTATGATGTAGAATAGATAAATTGTCATATGAAGAAAGAAATGGTCGACTTATACCCTTGTTGTCTTGTTAAGAGGCACACACCTTTAACACAGGCCATCCTCTGAATCTTATTTTATAACATGTCATTAAAGATACTGTTTCATCTGCGAATTGTATTTGTGAATCTTTTTTGTACATCTGTATACTTGTTTTGTGTACCTTAGAGTCTTTAATGTACATCTGTATCCCATAGAGTTTGCATGTATATCTCTACACCTATATAAACTTCTTTTGTATCCCTTTGGTTTTTTTCTTTAAATGTATTATTATCATCAATATACGTGTCTTGTATTAATTAGATTCTCCATCGCTATACTTGTTTGTACACTTCAATGTATAGCCTCGTTTTGTGACCCTTGCAACTGTAATATTTGTAGATACCTACCTTTGGAAGATATGAGGGCCAAACAGATTAAAACAGTATTATGTCTACGAAACCCGAAAGACACGGCCGTGTCATACTACAATCACATGAAGGGGTTAAATATCTATGAATATGATGGTAAATGGGAAGATTGGTTACCAGTGTATATGCAAGGAAAATGTAAGTGACAAATATTTTTGCATAAGTACAGGTGTTGTCCATAAGTTAAGTACGATTATTTATAATAAATGTATAGAACATTCCAAAACGTATCCATGTAGCAGACGGCGTGCACATGGGAACATTACTTTAAATAGCTTAGAAGATTAAAGATTAATAATGAAATGCAAATCAGTACGTTTCACAGGGAAAATATGCGGTTGTAATTTCATATTATTTTCAAGTTTAGGAACACAACTACAATGTAATACATGCTTAATTTCAAGAGGTTTATTTATATCCATCACATACTTTTTTTAATAATCACAACTTTAAAGCTTTAAAACTTGATTGATGATTTGGAACCTACGTCGCGAATTTAACCAGCTGCAGGGCTAATGTCATATTCGAAAACATGTCTTCTTACCGCCACCAGCTCAGATGCCTTACGTAACTACCTAGATAACGATCATATTAACACGTTTGTTTGGAAATATAGATATCAATAATTGATATGAGGGATCACTCTCCATTGGTTCTTTGAATATTTAGAATATGAAATAATTCATTCCTATTGGTTTCAGTGGAATATGGAAAATACAGTGAGTATTTGATAGAGTGGCAACAACTCATACAAGACGGTCCAGGATTTCCGTTACACGTCATGTTTTACGAGGACGTGAAAATGGTTTGTTAACTTAATATTGATTGGTTGGCTGGGCTGTAAGAATTAGGGCTTGACAACATCATAAACTTGCGATACTAGTATAATGTTGAGTATCGATGAACACTGGTGCATGAAATAACCAATCATAAGGGACAACTTTGGTCATTTTGAAAGATTTCTTATCAATTAGATATGATTGACCAAATGTTTTGCTCTAACGAACTTTAACTCTAAAATTTAGGTCTGTTTTTGTCTTTCTTTTTAGAATGGACAGAAAGAACTTGATAGGCTGTTGAAATTTCTTGATATACAACTAGATGCTCAACTGAAGAATGACATTATGGAAATGTGTGGTTTTGAAAAGATGCGTGAAGAAAAAGGGAAAAATAAAGGAATTGAAGTATATCTTAAAAAGGATTTCAATTTCTTTAGAAAAGGTAAGGTCAGTTTAGAATCGGACATGCATTAGTGATGAGTTATGCCAAAATCATTGACCTCTTGTTTATAAATATACTTGTATCTGACGTTATTTCTCAGGTTAATATCTGTTTTAGTTTGAACTTAAATTTCTTTTATTTAAAAAAATGAGAGGGACGAGTGTCTCTCCTTAGTATAAACCTACCTGCATATTAAACCTACCAACAGAACACAGACCACTGCAAACTCTAACACCACCAGAAATGAAAACCTATTCAAGTTTCAAAAAGTAATAAACAAAAAATAAAAACAAATATAAAAAAAATAAAACAAAACAAAGAAAGAATGAAGAAAGATTGCCAAGATTGTCTTTTTTTAAAGACCAATTTAAGATATATTACTACATGTATATGATATTATTTTTTTATCAAAGTTTGCTGATTAATTAGAATGACATAAATATATTCATATTTGATATTTCTAGGTCAAGTCGGTGACTGGAAGAATTGGTTTTCGGTTGCACAAGATGAAATGTTTCCGCAAAATGGGAAAAGGGAAAAGAAAGATTTGGGTTTATTCAAGTTTTGATTAACAGGAATTGGGGTCCTTTAACGAGAAAGTGTTTTAATGTTGAGGGGAGATTTTGGTTTTCTGTATTCGATATTTAAAAGCATCTTTGACAAATGTATCAGTTTTTATCAATTATACATTTGATTTTCATCAATTTTTTGCCTTGTAATTTTAATTTTTGCGCGATATACCCAGCCCGTAAATTTAAAACGGTTTTATTTAAAATATTTATATTAAACCCTTTTCTTTTTTTATTATAAAGCAAACTATTTTCTTTTCTTTTTTTGCTTTTATTAAAAAAAGTTAAATTTTTAACCCGTTTGGGGAATTTAAATTTATTTTAAAAAGTATTAAAAATTTAAAATTTTTTCATTTAACGATCTTGTGGACTGTTCTCAAGATTTTAAAAATTGTGAAAGTTTTAATTTAAGAAATAAAATGGGAAAATCTTTCTATATTTTTAAATAGATTTTTTTCCTAATCATTTTAAATTCAAATGTCCCGGGCAAACTAGCGGGAATTTTTATTTATTTCGGCATAGGTTTTTAAAAAGAAAAAATGGACAAAATGTCACTTTAATGGAAATTTTTGTTTTTTTCCAAAGATGGATAAATTTTTTGTAAAATTTTAAAATTTGGGAAGTTATTAGTGAACGTGGGAAAATTTTTAATTTTTTTTATGGGGCCCCCCTTAAAGATTTCCCCAATTTTTTTCCCTTTTTTTTAACCAAATTTTAAAATTTTCATCACAAGTAGCTTACCTTTATTTATTGAATTAATTTAAAATTATTTTTACAATTATTTTTTTTAGGAAAATTGGGTTAAAAATCGTTTTAAAACCAGTTTTATCAAAGTGATTTTTAACGGTTTTCCCCATTGGGGACCCAATTGCTGGTTTAAAATAAAAGGGCGCTGGGTTTTAAAGGTTTTGGGCCCCCCCCGGGGAATTTTTGGGAAATTTTTTTTTCTTAGTTAACAATAAAATTTGAGGCTAAAATTTTTGGGGTTTTCCCCTGTTTAAATGAATTTTATTTCTGTCTTTAATTTTAAAAAATAAAACTTTGTAAGGTTTAAAAGAAAGGGCCTAATTAAAAGGTTAGCCCTTTTTACCCTTTTTTCCCAAAAAAATCCTTTTTTCCCCCCCCCTGGGGTTTTAAAAAACCTTTTTCCCCTTAAAATTTTTTTCCCCTAAAACCCTGACTACTGGTGGTTAAGGGTTTTTTAAACTTCCCCCCAGCAAATTGGAGTTCCATTGGGAATTTTTCAAAAAAACAATTTTAAAGTCATCAAAATTTAAAACAAAAAAAATAACACACATGGGAAAAATACATTTTTAAATTTGACCTTAAAAGAGTGACTTTAAAATTTGGGGAAATTTTTAAATTTAAAAAAATTGGAATTTTTCCCGTTTTCCCAAAGGGGTTCCCCTACCGGGTTGGACCAAAAGAGACATATGGATTTTGATTGGGAAAGGGTCTTTTAATTTTTTTTAGGCGATACAATTTTATTTTGTTGGTCCCTTTTAAAATACAAAATGAATCGGTCAAGGGTTTTTCTAATAAAGGGGGATATTTTTTGTTTTTAGGGTTTGAAAGATAAAAATTAACCCGAAAACCCTTTAATCATGAAATTTTAATTATTTTTAAAGTATTTTATAAAAAAAACGGAATTTCCCCATCAAAGGATTTAAATTTTAATCCCTCATGTTTTTGTTTACAAAACGTTTTTCAAAAATGTTTAAAATTATTAACCCTATGCAATTTTTCATTTCCCCGTGTTTTGGCTATTAAATTGAGTGAGCAATTTGGGGTTTTTGATTTTGGTTTTTACACTTTCTAACTTTCATTAAATTTTGCTCTTTTTTAATTTTTGGTTTTTTCTTTTTTAAACTTACTTTTCATTTTGGGGGTTTTTTTGGACTTTAAATTTTTTTGGAAAAAAAAATGTCCTATCATTTAAAAAACACCAAAAACTTTTTTAGTTATTTTTGAGGGGACGACCAAACATTATTTTTTTTATCGGGATTAAATACCCACCCTTGGGCCATCCCCTTCCCGAAAATTTAAAATTATAATCCATTTGTTTTAGATCAAAAATTTTTGGTTTTTTTTTCTTTTTGAAAATTAAAAAGAAAATGACCACTTTAGACAAAAATTAGAATTTCAAAAGGTTTTTAATTTTCTTTCCGGGGGGTTAAAGTATGTTTGATAAGTTTTATTGAATTTTTTCATTTTTGTTTAAAAAATAGTTGAGACTTTTTTACCCCGAAAGGGGAAATTTGGGATGAATGTTTAAAAGGGTTTGGGTTTCAAAAGTTTGCCAATTTTTAAAAAAAATAAAAATTTTTAATTAATCAAATTTTTTAACCCCCTTTTTTTTTTTCTTAATTTAAAAGGCACAAAAACTTCCAATATATCATTAAAATACATTGTTTTTTTTAATAGTTCGTGAACCCCTTAGAGATAGAGTAAATAGGGGGGGTCCTTAAGGAAAAAAATTTTGTCAAAAAATTTTTATTTTTGTAACATAGTGTTTTTACGTTTAACGATTCAGGGGAATTTCGAAATTTTTTTAAAAAAAAACCATTAAAAATTTTTTGCAAAGGGCCATTTAGTAACATGGGAATTTTAGGATTCTTAAAAAATTTTTGGGGGCGTTACTTAGTTCTTTTTCGCAAAGACAAAGGGCAAATTTTAGGGGATTTAAACTATTAAAACCCCTTTTTGCGCAAAAAGGCACCCCCTATTATTGGGTATAAAATTTTATGTTCACTATATGAGAGGTATCATTTGCGATAATTAAAAAGGGAAGTAAAGTCAAATGTCAATTTCGCCTTTTTTGTTTTTTCTGTTTGGGGAAAAAAATGTTTTAAGGGAAAACAACTATTTTAGAACCCTTTTTTATTCCAATTTTACGGGGCTAGTCCTAGTTTTTTTTGGTTAGAAAAAATTTGTTACTTTAAATGCTACATTTTCCGTATGTATTTTGTTTCTTTAAAAATTTTCATTACTTTTAATCTTTTTAATTTTAAAAATTTTTTTAAAAATCCGGTTTTTCCCCAAACTTTTTAAAAATGTCGAATTTTTTCACCAAAAACTTAAAATTTTTGGTTTGGGGGCATTGGTGACCAAAGTCACCCCTTTTGTGATACCTTTTTTAAAACAGTGATTTATTTTCGAGGGCAAAAAAATTGAAAAATACAATGATAGTTTTCCCGATTAAAAAAAACAGAGCCCTTTTCCTCCTTTTTTTCTTAGCCCTTTCCTGATAAATTTTAAAAATGATTTTTAGGGTTTGTTTGGTTTCTATGTTCATGTTTTCAAATTTAAAATGCGTTTTTTCTTTAAATTTTAAAAGAAGTCTCGAGTTCATTTGCGTTTTAATTGCCAAGGGTTTAACTTTAAAAAAAGTCCCAAAAGGGGTTTTTAGTCAATTTTAAAAAAAAAATCTTTTTCGGAAACAAAGTTTTTCAGTTTTGTATTTTTTAAATTATAAAAAGGGGGAAAAATTTTCCCTTCTCTTAATTTTTTTTTAATATTGTATTGTTAGGGGGGCTGAAAAACTGAGGGTGGTGAAAAAAGCAAGGGTGGTGAAAAAAGCCTTTTTTTATGAGGGATGCCCCCTTTTTCAAAAATTTTACAATAACTTGTAAAAGTGTTTTTGGGAAAATTTTATTTTTACGCTTAAGTTTTTCCCCGTTTGATTAAATAATTTTTTGGGTTTTATTGCACTTTAATGGGTTTTGTTATGGTATTTTTTATTTTGGCAAATTTGGGCCCATTTTACTTTCTTTTTTCTTGGGGTTTTTTTGTACTCGTGTTTGATAACAGCTTAGAATTTTAAAGGGTTTCAAACCTTTTTTGCTGGGTTTTAAATGTTTTAGCAAAGTTTCTCGTTTCGTTTTTAAAAATTTCATGATAAATTTCTTTGGGGCATGCGTGGGTTTAAATGTCAGGTTTTATCATCGGTTTTAAAAAGTTTTTTTTTGTTTGATATAACTGTAAAATTAAAAATATTGCGTTAAATTTTTTGAAAAATTGGGTATAAAAATTTTTCCTTAAGAAAACATTTTTAAATTTTGGAAAAGGAAAGGGAAACTTTTAAAACTTTTTTTTTCCCTTTTTGGTAAAAAATTTCTGTACTGGTGCTTGTTGTTCTGATTTTTTTTGATTTTTTTTTTAAAATTTTAAAGAAATAAAATTGAATTTACCATTTTGGTTCGAAATCTGCTTTCGAAAATACTGTAAAGTATATGTCTTGTCGGTTCCCTTGGTTTTATCCGTACATACTACATTTATCTTTGATAATTTTGTATGTCAGAAAATTTTTTTGTGGGTAACCCACGATTTAAAATGGATGCAACCCCCCAAATTCCCGGTTTTTTTTAAGACATACCCTTAGCCAAAATTCCACTTTTTTTGTTGAAATTTTGCAAAAAGTAAAGTTGAAATTTTTTATTTTGCTCTGGAAAATTCCCCTAAAGATGAAAATGTCGGGGTGGTGTACGAAATTTTTTTTTTTCAAAAACTTTTTTCTTTTAAAATTTAAAGATTTTTTTTTTTCATTTTTTTAAAAAAATGAAAAATCTATTTTAAAAATGTTTTTAAACTTTTAGATTTTTTCCCCGAAGGAAAAACATGAAAGTAAATTATTTTTAATTAAATTTTGGGAAAATGTGAAAAAAAAATGGAATTTTTATGAAAATAAAAACATTTTTCTTAAAGGCCTTAAAGCAATTTTTTTGGGTACCCCGGAAAAATGCGTTTTCCCAAAATTAAATTTGGTTTTAAAAACCCTAAAGCTTTTAGGGGATGTTTTTAACCGTTTAATTAATAGTTTAATATTTTTTTATTTTTTTAAAATATAAAAACTTAAAAGAACCCGGGTAAAAAGCTAAACCTCAAAACTTTAGGTAAAAGTAAATTTGTGGGGGGTGCACTTTTTGCGGGGCCCAAAAAAATATTTTTAAAAGGGTTTTTAAGAATAATATTTTTTTTTCATTTTTGACTTAAAAAGACT